TTTTCATAAGATGCCAATATTAAATCACATATACTTTTTTCAGAGATGCATAAGATGTGTTTAGGATATATGTTACATGGCAGATAGCATCTTTGAATATGCCTTGTTACCAAAATGATGTCAGACTCTATATTAAGCCCCAGACCACTTACCACAGCTCCTTATATAACCAAAGCATCCCTGTTCCTCCTTCCTCGTGTTCCATACTCCATCACACGTCCCCATCTACATTGCCATCCATTCCATCTCTGAGCAGCAGTGCTATTTTTCTTACTTGCAGTGGTTCTACTACATGTAGCCTCAGACTCAGGTCAACACAAGATTCAATTGTAGTAGGAGGGAAAGAGCATGGACACTCAGACAAGCCACAGTCTGTGCCAAGTTGATAGCAAGAATGGCAGAGAAAATCTGGGAACTCGTCCTGACCAACCTTTCCTCACCAACTCATAAGTGCTGGCTGAATAACTTAAACCCTACTATTATATTATATTAATTAAACTTGTATGTCACTTGACTCTCATTGATTTCTCCCTACCCTGAAGGATGGTTAAAAACCAGGGCAATTTGGAGGAAAAAATCACAGTGAATAATTCTAGCACATGGTTCCTGTTATTTCCATTTAAGTAGAGATGCATTTAGGCTGGCTGATACTCTGATGAACTATCATTTGAAATACTAGTTATATCTAGTATTTCTAGACCATCTATCATACCATGATATGTTCCTGAACTTGCACAGTCTGTGCATGTTTTCTGTTCCTTTCTGCTTTTCTTTTCTTTTTTTTAACATCTGCTTGATTAGTCTCATATGATCAGTGCTCAATCAATCCTTCTGCCTCTTCCACTATTTGAGTATAAGCTACACTGGAGGAATGTTTTGGGACAGTGTTTTTCAAACTTGGCAGTTTTAGGATGTGTGAACTTTAACTCCCAGAATTCCCTAGTCACGTGCTCGGTATTAATATTCTAAGTACTCTATATTATCTGCATCATATATTTAATTATATACCTATACAGAAAATTATCTTTTGAAAATAGTATTGTAACTCATCTGAGTTTTGTAAAAGCTCACTTACTCACTTCAATATACTTAACAGCTTCGTAAAACCTGTGCCTACACATCTGAAGTCATTCTCTCTCAAGCATTTTATATAATTTAGATGTCCTATGGATCCCATCCAGAGTTATTGTGAGTACCTTGACATCTGTGGGCATTATAGTCACAATCTTTTTTTCACTCAAGACAAGAACCAGAAAAAGTCTAAGCTCCAACTTAGCTTGGGGGCTCACTTCTAGTAGGTCATTGTAGAAAGTAAGGAAGGACCCTTAGGAAATATGCAAACTCTGTTGCCAAAGCAAAAAGGATTGAAATATATTTTAAATCCACATCAGACAAAAAGTATGCCTAAGAGACTCAGATAGACACCTTCCTAATTCACAGGAGTATATGAAGGAGGGAGTAGATACAGCATAGGGGTCTTCAATCTTGGCCCTTTTATGACTTGTGGACTTCAACTCCCAGAATTCCTCAGCCAGCGTGCCTGGCTGAGGAATTCTGGGAGTTGAAGTCCACAAGTCATAAAAGGGCCAAGTTTGAAGACCCCTGATATAGCACAATCAGACTTATGGGATTCAATTATTATAGCCACTCTCTGTAAAAGTAGTTTTAGCCTCTCTGTAGATTTTATTTTCTGGTCTGGTCTACCTAATGGGGCTGACAATAACTTTGGGCCTTTTATCTGAACCCATTTTTATTATAAGATAATATTTGCTCTTGTATTTTTGTATTTTATTCTATAATCTAATAAAATGTTACAAACAGCCTAAGATAAAATTGGAAAAGACAATTCTATGCATTATTCCTGGGGGATGAGCAATAAATGAATTAAGTAAGCTTTATGCTTCCCCCACCAGCCAAATCAGAATAGAAATCATTGATTAATTGATATTATTCAAGTACTAAGCCCTCCTCCACTGTACTTCAAAGGTGGCTTATAAATAAATTATAATTATATTATTTGATAAATAGGATAAATAATAGTTACCGCATTTGAATTAATGCAGCTTTCTCTTTTTAATCTGTTCTGTCTCTTTTGCGGTCTGCCAGAATTAGACAACACAGCATAAATACAAGTGTTCCCTTAGGACCTTTAAGTAAATATTTTTCTTTATATAAATACTAGTACAAATACTAAAGATTTTGTTTCCATTTCAATGCCCTACCATTAATCCAATCATGAAAAAATGTAATAATATAATGGTTTTTTGATCCATCATTTGCTATGGGTAGGTTGATTTACCCAAAGATGTTAAACAATCAAATTTGATTATGGCCCCCAAGGAAGATTGTATGGTAAACCTAAGACTTCAAAATCAAAGAGTTCAAAACTTAGCTATTTTAAATTGGATTTATTATTTCAGTTTCAAGGCCACCCAATTCCAAAGTGATTCTGAACAGCTTACAGATAAAAATAAACCAAAGTTTATATGGGGGGGGGGAGACAACAGATAGAACCAAAACAAACCAAAATGGCTCAACCACTATCTTAACTCAAGGTCTAGGAATTAGTGCTTTAGTAGTTTGCAGAATGTCAGAGGACTGGAACCAATCTCTGGAGAAGATCATGCCTCAAGAGAAGAGCCATCACTGAGAAGACATTCTCCCTAGATCCCATAAGATGACTGTGACTATCAGGGTCTCCATAGGCTGGGATGGGATAAAAACTTCAAGATGGCAATTATCTCTGTATGATGGAAGACTTGCTATTCCACAAGCTGACCAATGGTTTGGATGAAAGTTTTGAAAACCAGATGAAACCTGATTACAATTACAGTTGTCATTTGATTCATCTTTGGAACCACCATACTGAAGAAGAATACTTAAACCACTTTAAGCAGTGAAAACAGTTATCCAAAGTTTAATGAAGTTTGAGACTGGAAACATGGAGATTTAATACTATGGTGGGTATCTTGAAAAGAGATGGAACATTAAGATTCTGACGTAGCTGCAGCAAATTCATTCCAACTCAGTGGTGCATGTCTTCATGGTCTGGTGCTTTATAGCAGCGATACAAACATGATATAACCAGAATTGGCAATAATTTTTCTATAAATGGAAAGTGCATTAGGTTACAAAAAAAAATCTAGCCATGTACCTCCTGTTGACTTTTGTTGTATTTAATCCCACCAAGATCTTTCAAAGGCCAATCCTGTATATGATTATGCATGAGACACATATGGTTCCATAATGTTAACATGTATTTGCCAAGTGAATCCTGATTAACATCAATAATTACATTTTCCTGTGTGGAAGAGAAAACACATGGACAATAATTTTTGAAATGGCTCATTTCCTTGAGTGTACGTTCATGCCCACACATTAAGCACCATGCCTTCGATGTAAAAGTTGGACCGTAATGTTTTAATCAACAGTTGCCGTATCTGCACATTTTAACAGCATGCCAGTGCTATAAACTGTTAATGGAAAACTTCATGAAAGCCCAAAGTGCTTGATTGAACAGGGAAGACAAGGTTGTAAGGGTGATACTGCTGCAATTTGAGTGATTGCCGGCGCTGTGCCTTAATTACGATTTTTTGTATTAATACTACTTCAGAGTTGATGTTGCATTTGAGGCAGATTTATTTTCACCTCTTTTAGCCCCTGAAAACAAAGGGAGATAATCTTAATCAAGGCTGTTTGTGAGAAATTAGTCCTGACGATTCAAGGGAAACAGGGACTGCTATTGTTAGATTAGGAGTTGTGTTGCTAGTGAGGCACAATACATTCATATTCTTTTAATTTATTCTGATTGCCTCTTGTTCTCATTGCTGGTGATATTGCTCTCTACAGAAACCCAATAATGTGTCTACAGAAGTTTAAGATTGCTATCAGCCAATCTGCATAAAGTAGCAGACAGGTTGATGCAAATAGCCATTTACTTCGTTCTGGAAGATCTGGGGGCACCTCCTGTGGCGCATTGAACAAATTTGCTTCCGGAAAGACAACTGGCAAATTAGTCCACATCTTTGCATGGGCCTGCTTGTTAGCAAGCACCCTCTAGCACTAATCTAGGCTTACTTTATTTTTTTCCCTATGTTAAGTTTAGTACTTGTGATGGCCTGATGGTATTCACAAAAGAGATTAATAATACTGGGGCTTGGCAGTGATTAGAATGCAGTATTGCAGGCTAATTCTGCCCACTGCCAGGAGTTCAATCCTAACAAGCTCAAGGTTGACTCAGCCTTCCATCCTTCTGAGGTTGGTAAAATGAGGACCCAGATTGTTGGTGTCTATATGCTGATTCTGTAAACTGGTTAGAGACTGCTGTAAAGGACTATGGAACAGTATATAAGTCTAAGCGTTACTGCTATTGCTAGACAAGAGTGTAAGTTTTTATGAGGCATAGTAAATAGAAAGTGTTACACAATTCTTGCTGTTTCTTGCCGCACACATATGAATTTCTGGCTTTCATACTGCTTTTTTGCCCTAATTTTGCAGTCACTATCAGTGACATTACAATAGCAGAGCTGCTGTCGCAAAGAATAAATTCATCAAGTTATACGTGCATTATTGCATTTACTACTTAATTGCGTTTAACCTGAAGTCAGCCTCTCTGTATTAGAACTGCAATCTAACTTAAAAGATTCTTTTTCTTTAGTTGCACAGTGAAGATTATGGTCCTCACCACTACCACCACCATCACCCCAAAAAATGGAACAAAGCCAGGAGGACTAGTCATGTCAACAATAAAAATCATAAATGATGTTATGTATTTAAATGATTTCATTTCAGTCATGTTAATAATTAACAGTTGGGGTACACTCAGAGCTTTGGCAGGCTACCTATGGCCTTGAAAGAGTAGTTGCACATCTCTAGATACCTCCTGTGTGATAATTGGGTGGTTTTGCCATTGGATTATGGTTCTGAAAGGTAAAAGGGATGTGTGTTACTCAAGAATGTTTTTTTTTTTAAAGATAGAGTTTCCTTCGTGTTTTGCTCAGTTTCTGGTAACAGTATAGTATGGAAATGGTTTGCCCTTTCCCTCTTACGGGATGTTTATTTTTTTTTCCAACTTGCCAGCCATTTTTTTTTCCTGTTGGTCTCCCATCCCAGAATCAGCCAGGTTTAACCCTGCTTAGCTTTTCAATGTTACCTAAGGATGCCAAAGTGCTGCAATTACTAGTGGTACGGAACTTTTTTCCTTTCCAAATCAAAAAGGTTTCTTTGGCAGGTGGTTTTAAATTTCTCCAAATAACTTTGAAAGATATAACAGAAATTATTAAGGTTAAAAACAGTTTTCATGGCTCTCAAATAAAACAAACAGCTCCTTCTTTCAAACTCTGGCAATCTTAAATGTTATTTACATTCTGAGCTGCAGGTAAATTAATTACAGTAACTCTGAACTGGCTTGTGGGAGCTTTCCATTCAAATATTTTTAATGCCATCATGTTTTAAATTAGTCCAGTAAATTGAAAAATCTGTAACTTGTCAACTTTTCTCTTTCATTCTGTATTTAATGTTGAAAGATTGCCTTTTCATTAAGGAAGTAAATTAACATTTGGGTAACTTGACAACTTTCAATCTACACAAATGTGATCCCTGCATATTTCTACTGTGCTAAATTAAACAGGGCCAACTTTCGGTATTTTTGGATGACTTTGAACAAGTAGTAAGGTCTTTAAAGCAGTGCTTCTCAACCTCAACAACTTTAGACTTCAGTTCCCAAAATTCTCCAGCCAGCAAGAAAATGAGCCTAGTCATTGGCCAGGACAGGGGTAGGCAACCTTGGCTCGTTTATGACTCGTGAACTTCAACTCCCAGAATTCCTGCTGGCTCAGGAATTCTGGGAGTTGAAGTCCACGAGTCATAAAAGGGCCAAGGTTGCCTACCCCTGGGCCATGATGACTTATGCAAGTTAACCAAAACTTTCTGCCAAATTCTTTCCTATTCCTTCCTTCTAAAATTCCTTTTAAAGCTTCTCTTTCCATTCTCTCTAGTTGACTAGATGTGTTCATTCATACTTTAATTTCTTCTACCGTAGGTTGCTTTAATACTCTTAGGGGGCTGCTTTAGAAGTCAGTTTCAGAAATTTCTCTGGTACAAAAAACCAGTACCAGAATTTCCAGCATGAAAGAGGTGCTGATTTTATTACAAATGCAAGTTGAAATTGTTATTATTTAGCATCTGATGAGAGCATGACAGAAGAGAAATAAACATATATACACAGTCCACGTAATTATAATTTACAATGCCTTGGTAAGGCCACACTTGGAATACTGCATCCAGTTTTGGTCACCACGATGTAAAAAAGTTGAGACTCTAGAAAGAGTACAGAGAAGAGCAACAAAGATGATTAGGGGACTGGAGGCTAAAACATATAAGGAACTGTTGCTGGAATTGGGTATGTCTAGTTTAATGAAGAGAAGGACGAGGGGGGACATGATAGCAGTGTTCCAATATCTCGGGCTGCCACAAAGAAGAGGGAGTCAAGCTATTTTCCAAGGCACCTGAAGGCAGGACAAGAAGAAACGGGTGGAAACTAACCAAAGAGAGAAGCAACCTAGAACTAAGGAGAAACTTCCTGACAGTTAGAACAATTAACCAGTGGAACAACCTGCCTCCAGAAGCGGTGAATGCTCCAACACTGGAAGTTTTTAAAAAGAAACTGGACAGCTATTTGTCCGAAATGGTATAGGGTTTCCTGCCTGAGCAGGGGGTTGGACTAGATGACCTCCAAGGTCCCTTCCAACTTTATCATTATTATTATTATTATTATTATTATAAGTAAAACTTCTATGTGGGCATGACCTTATAACTGGATGTCCAATTCAGCGATCTTGGTGATCGCCTCTGGTGCTGCTTTATGCAGATCTCCTGGGGAACCAAAGAATGCACAGCCTGGGCAACCTTGCACAATCTGTTTAATAGTTTGCATATCAGCACAATTGCAACAAGGGGAATCTTTCCATGCCCCACTGATACAGGGCAGAGGCACTTCTTCCCATACCACACCTCATTCTGTTCAATTTCAACCAGACAAAGCGAGGCAGGTCAAAACCAGGTGGTTTGGTAAAAGGAACACTAATGGTCAGAGCACAAGGAGGTCCTTGACCATAGCCAGATGAGAGTTGGAACTGTGAACTGGTTCCCTTCACTCACCCCCCTTTTTTTTCTTTCCTTCATAGATTATATGCCATCAAGTCATTTTTAACTCCTAGCAGCCACATAGATGCAGCATTGATTCTCCATGATAATCTATCCCTAAGCTTGTAATTGTAAATCTGATTGGTAAAGATGGTTTACTTTTTTTTTGTTTACTGCAGCACTGAAATTAATACTAAATCAGTGCTTATCAACAAAGCAGTCATGCTGTTGCAGACCTCTTTCACTGGGAAAAGCTGTTCTAGTCAATAGTCTTTTTATGAGTGGGGCTTTGCTTTTATTTAAAACTTCACTTTAGCCTAGGAGTGATTTCTCTACAACCAATAAATGCTGATCAAAAGAGCAGATTAGTTTGGCACTTTGGGAAGTCTGCTTGTTATCAATAGGAGGAACAAAGTCAGACTGCAAACGGAATCATGAAGAAAAGTACAAAACAGCTACAAAACAGCTGCAACAAATATTGTTCTCTTTGTTATCCTAAGTATTTGAGGGATCATCTCTTTCTCATATGAAATTGCTTATTTCTCAAGCTATTTTCTGTAAGTTAACACTTTTGGGATGTGGTGGAATACAGCTCTCCAAAAATCTAACCAGTTGTGTTGTATGAAGGTTCTGTGAATATTTTACTCCTTCCCCTTCAGTAATTGGGACTGTTTTTTCAGGGGCCAAATGAGTGTCTTAATTGATGTACCGTATATACTCGAGTATAAGCCGAGTTTTTCAGCCCATTTTTGGGGCTGAAAAATGGCCCCCTGGCTTATACTCGAGTCAGCGTCTTGAAGCAGCTGTTGCTGCCGCCACCGCCGCCAGGCAAGCCATGGCGGCTCGCCGCTCGCTCCCCCTCCCCTGCCGCTGCGCTCCGCCTGCTTGCCCTGCGCCGGCGCCGGCGGCTCGCTGCTCGCTCCCCCTCCCCTGCCGCTGCGCTCCGCCTGCTTGCCCGGCGCCNCCCGCCGCCGCCGCCACTGCCCAGCGTGTTCCTGCCGCCGCCGCCGCCGCCCAGCTCGTTCCCGCCGCCACCGCGGCCGCCCAGCTCGTTCCCGGCGTCGCCCCGGCCTGTGATGCTCCAGGTACGGCCCTCCCCCCTTACCTTCCGTTCCCTGCGGCGCTGCGTGTCGAGGCCGGGACGGAATACCCCGGGCCGCCGCAGCCAAGCGCGAGGGGGAACGCCAGACGCCTCGCGGAAGGGGAGGCCTGGCGACGCTGCACCCTGACGGGCTCTCACCGACAGGGCTAGGGAGGCCGAGACGGCCAGGGAGGAACAGCCAAAATGCCCCCTCGGCTTATAAGCGGGTCACCAATTTTTCCCAGTTCTTTGTGGGAAAATCGGTCCCTCGGCTTATATTCGGGTCGACCTATACTCGAGTATATACGGTATATGCTTAAGCTACCCATTTCACTAACTAAAATTCTCAACCCTATCAGGCCCATTTTGGTTCTGTCCTGCCCCCCTCTGGAGTGCAGCACCCCTAAAAGCAGGATAAATGATTCATTCCTGTCTTGGGGCATTCCCCTCTTATGTTATTCTTGATAGGTTGAAAATGTCAGGCAGATCTGCCTTCAGCTCTTCACAAAGATGCCCACGAAAGATGCTTAATGCTCCTTCACACATTTTATATACTGGAGTAGGGTGTGTGAGTTTTCTTCTATGAACAGTTCCTGCATGGATAGATTGATGTTTGAATTATCTAATGCCACATTTTTGCAAGCCGCTTGGGGTTTGATGGTATATAAATTTTTGTTACAGGAAATAGAGATATAAAATATGTCGGAGTCACAGCCATAGAATGGGCTTTTTACTGGAAAGGTGTGAAGTGACACACCTTAGTTTTATAATAAAGACGCATAACTGTTTGCTTTTATCATTTAAATGTTTTCCCACCACAGTGGCAGTTCCCATGTGTTTTTAAGATACTGGAAAGAATTCCTTACAGATTCAAGCAGCAAAGTTTATGGCTTACCTTTCACTGGCATTCTGGATAGCTGCTGATAATTCCCTGCCTCTCCCATCCCCAGCTCTGGGTTTATTATTGCAAGTCTATAATAAGACAATAGGGAGACAAATCAGGTTAGCTTCCTCTTTATTATACGTTTGGCAGCTGTTGTAGACTATATTGTTCCATTACCTTTTTTTAATGTTCTTAAATGATGCCTTCAGATTTTATTGTGATGAATATTCTGGCTTCTCTTGTTAACCTATTGTGATTGTGTTTGATTTCAGTGTATTGTGGTGTATTTTATGTTACTGCTGCTTTTATCTGATTTCTGTATATTGCTTACATCACCCAATGGAGAGAGAAGCTATTTAATAAATATGTCTAATAATAATAATATCCACCCTTGCCAGAATGGAGATGGTTTAGCTCTTCCGGTGGACTAGAAGGAGTGGTGGAGGCGAAGGATAAAGAGAACAGATATAGAAGTGCTGCATTAGAGAACAGATATAAATACCTTAAAGTTTATCCTTTTCAAATAAAATCCAATGTATTTGATGTTGATTTGTTGCTACGCAGAATAGAAAAAAAAATCATTCTGATATTCTATATGTGGATTTTCATTTGTTTCTGAATTTTTATCACACACACAGATATATGCACAATGAAATGTTGGTGTCTTAATAAATGAAGGGTTTGCATTTCTGTTTCTCCCAACAGAAGTTAAGTACAGCAGTTTTTATGTTTTCTGCAAAAGCTTCTGCCAAGCCGTGAAACCTGGGAAACTCCGGGTTCGTTGCAAAACGTGCAAACAAGGGACACTGACTTTGGCACGGGTAGGTTTAATTTTATATCTTGTTTGTTGTTTAGTTTAAGTTATTAAAATGTGAAGTGATAAACTGATTGGAATGGAATGGAATGGAATGGAATGGAATAATACAGTTGGAAGGGACCGTGGAGATCTTCTAGTCCAGCCCCCTGCTCAGGGGATTAATACTGCCTATGGAGAAGGTGGCTCCTCATATCTGAAAGGGGAATTGGATGTACTCATAACTGGTAGAAAATGAATATGTTGTTCATGTTTGATTAAATAAATAGGCCAACATATCAGTTTATGTTATTTGATATATTCATTTTCTACCAGTATATTTTATTGATTTATTCATGGATGAATATATTAGAACTTTGTCCATTGTAAACAAGTGTGCTTTATAATAAGTCTTTGTAGCATTACCCTAGAGAGATATCCCTAGTTACATTATTATTCATGCTGAGCCACATGACAAAGATCTTTGCAAATTCATACACTCTCTCCAGTTTCTTTAATACCTTCATTTAACCCTGATCATTGTTCACTTTCTGCTGTGGTTTTCAAGGTTTGGCAATTTTTATCAAACTGTTTTCACATGATGATAGTGATATACTTTTGTTGCAAATTGTTCTGAGCATCTTTTATTTTAAAACAGTATCTTTGGGGAACATAGGCAGGATATGTATCTTTGAAAAATATATTCAATGTGCTTCCAGGTACATAAAGCATATGTGCGATGTACACACTCACAAGCCAGTTTGGCGTAGTGTTAAGGTGCTGGGATAGAAACCAGGGGACTGGGAATTCTAGTTATGCCTTAGGCATGAAAAACAGACTGGGTGACTTTGGGCCAGTCACTTTCTCTCAGCCCAACTTTTACTGTGGGTAAAATAGGAGGAAGGAATATTGGTATGCTTTCTGCCTTGAACTGTATATAGAAAAAAGGTAGGATAAAAATATCCCTCCCAAAAATAAGCAGAACTTGTATCTGGTAAGATCCTTGGTGACTTCAGCAGATAATAGGCTTCTGTATCATATAAGTGTAGAGTATGTTCAGAAATTGTAGTTTCAACACAATTGAAGTGCTTCTACCACTCTACACAATTACAGATAGCAAAATCAGTAGACTTTCATGTTAACATTGCTTCACAAATGAAGCCCTTCTGTGTCCTCCAAACTAAGTTACCCTGAGATTCTTTGTAGTTTTAAAGGGATAATAGCCTTCTCAAAAGCTTAAACCCCACCCCAGCTTCAGAGAGGATTTGGATTATCCCATCTCTTGATTCCAATTCCATTAATCTTTCTTCTTTGAAGTAACCACATTTAACTCTTCTCTGACCTGATCTATGGTTAAGGAAAAGCAAGCCAGTTTTGTAAGCTAAAGTTCTCCATAACTCTGCAAGATAGTTTTTTGTAGCTTTCTCCATTTGTCTTTACAGTACAAATAATGCTTCATTAGGATTTTGTCAGATTCAGGTTGGCTATTTGCCCTCTGAATCAAAAACCATATTTCAGTTCTGTGCGTGGAAGTGAAACTGCAAGATGCAGTTCACATTGATTTTCTGTTTCTTTCAGACTTTTCATTGACTGTTTCAACTTTTGTGTATGTTACAGTAATTAGATATTTCCCCAACAACTAATATATCAATGCATTTACTGCAGATTCTGTTATTGGCCTGGTTCTTGTGCTCAAAACACCAAGCTCAGCAATTTTACAATCAGAATGCAGACTTGATTTGTTTTGAAATTGGCATTTGGTTCCCTTTTTTTGTATTGACAGCAAAGCCAACAATCCCTCCTGAGTAAGAATACTCTAAGCCTTCCCTAACCTGATGCCCTCTGGATGTGTTGGCGTACTGAAGGAGCTGTATTGACAGACTAAGGGAAATTGAAGTATAAAAAACAAAAGGCTTTCTTATTTCTGCATAAGAATTCCAACCATATATCAGCTGACTTACGTTGATCATTCCTTACATTATGCTTTACCACACCTTGCTAGGCGGTAGCACCAAGCTAAATTTAGTCATGAAAAGTAAAGCAGAATTGTGCCTGATTAGTACTTGGATGGGAGGCCACCAGAAAAATCTCAGGGATGTAGGTTAACTTGCAAAGTAAATATATATATATATCCTACGTAGTAGCCATGGAAAACCTCTTTTAATTTTTCCTAGGAAAGCTATGTGGCACATGCATGAAGTCACTAGAGGCTAAACTGCCCTTGGAGCACATGTATTTTATCTTTCCCCAAAAAAAATACTCAGCCAGAAGTGATGTGTTTTTATTTATTTTGTGCTAAAAATCTAGAGCTAAGCACCTCAAAGCTAGAGATTCCTCCCAAAACTACTGAAGAATAAACAAAATATTTTTGTATTTCCTCCTCTTTTATTTTACTTATATCAACAGAACATAGCATAGGGGTCTGTTCCCAGCAACTGGACTAAATCCAGTTTCAGGCAATACCTCTGAACACATAAAGATGTTTTTCCTCTTTCCTGAATTACTGGATACTTCTCTCTCTTGCCCTATTTGGCATCTTTCATCCCCTGACCAAACACTCAAAGAGGATTTTCATTATAATTCCAGGCCCGTATTTCTTTTCTTTCTTCCTATCCATTTATTCTACCACCCAGCAAAAGTCCATTTTATGTCATTAACTTGGTTGACAGGGTACTTTACATAACGTTTGATTTATAGTTCTCATTCTCCTGCCCCAGTGAAGATTCTCTGTGAAGTAAAAAAAAAAAAAAAGGTCAGTTCAGAAAGAATAAAAAAGTATTATAAAAAATTCTTTTTATAATACTTGGCTGTTCTGTCCTTGGTAACTATAGTGCTTGCTTGTGAGATCTCTGCTTCCTTTTTATCTCAGAGAAGCAACAAAACATAAATAAGTTGATACAGCTGAAAAACCGGTGTTTTGCACTCCACTATATGTTTCTTGCAGGAAGTAATTTTTAAAATGTTTGCTTACACTTCATCAGCAGCACAGCAAAGTATAAGGCAGTTTTTGTTTCAATGAAACCCTTAAATTGGCATTAAAAAGAAATCAGCATTAACTTTCTTAAGGAAGTAAATTCTTTGGGTTGGTGAACTAGAAATAGATAACTTAATTGAACTAAACTTCGTGAATGCCCCTTCTCTCTGGCAAAAAGGCGGACATTGGGAATATTCATAATTTAGCCATATTAATCCTTTAACTCATGTTAATTTGTAATATTGTTTTTTTAGGATACATTAGGAGTAAATTCTACACTTACAGATTCCTTTTTGTCTCTTCTAATAAGAAAAAGTCCCATTATATTTAAGGCTGCATTTTATGAGTAGTTCACAACCTGCTTATCTTAGAAATATTTGTTCTGCATTGGATATAATTATCAGGAAATAATATTAGCAACATATTGAGAGGGTTTTTTTTCCAGAATAACTTGATCATCTTAATAAATATTGCTGGCTCATATCTTGCCAAACACACAACATGCTTTCAAATATGTAAAGTAGTTATAGGAAATGTGCTCCATTTTGTACTCTCAAAGTTGTTTGATAATTTGTAACACTGCAATATTAAACATTTCATTGTAAAATATAATTTAAGTGTAATTCTCACCACCATGCCTTCTTAAACATTGAAAACTGGTCTGATATCATTTGTCCTGGTTTTCCATTTTTAAATCAATACCTGAGTTGGGATGGGTAATAATGTTGTAAAGCCAGCCTTCCCAATATATTTATGCTGATGTGCATATTGTTGCTCCATTATAAACATTAATTTAACTATGTGGGGTTTTTTTGATTCTCTGAATATACATAATAAATGTGCATAGTGAGGAAAAGAGATAATATATTGATATACAAAACCCAGACATGAAATCTCGATAGTACAGACGTAAAGTGAAATTTAATGAATAATATTCACAGCCATTTTCATTGAGTTTAATGGCATATACCAGAGGTCCCCAATCTTTTGGGCACCAGGGACTGGTTCCATGGAGAGAGGTTTTTTCATGGACCGGAGGGGGTGTGGTTTTGCATGCTGCCTCTATTCTGCGGATGAGGCTTTGCTTCTTTGCACGGATCGGTTTCTGGCATGCTGCGGACCGGTGCCGGTCCATGGTCCGGGGATTGAGGGCCCATGGCATATACTCCCTAGTAGGGTGAGCAACCTGTGACCCCAGCATTAATGGGCCATGACTCTCCTTTCTGAAGCCTTTTCCAATCACGGTTGTCATGTTTTCATTCTATTCTAAGTCAAGAAAGACATGAACATGCAAGGGTGTATACTAAAATAGTTTTAAGATAGGTTAAAAACCAACAGCTAAATCAAAAGTGAATCAGAAATTCTTAACCCACATGTTTAATTTGACCATCTTACTTTGCAATATTTTGTTCTTTTTCATCCTAGAAAATGTTGCATTTTATCAGCTAGGGCCTAAAAAAAAAAGTCTGCTACTTTTAAAACTTTTTTTAAAAAAAGTCTGGAACAGATAATTCCGTTGCTAAGCAACACAGCCATAAAGTGAAATCTCACATGGCTATGCTCAATTTACAGCATCAGTTCTAACTGTGGTTATTAAGTGAATAAGCATGGTCACATGACTGCAACTTGTGACTTCCTGCCAGTTTCCCAAATGACTTTCCTTGTCAGAAGCCAGCCATCAAAGTTGCAAATGACAATCATATAACTGCAGAATGCTGCGACGGTCGCAAGTGTGAGGACCAGCTGTAAATCTCCCTTTGCAGCACTGTCAAAATTTAATAGTTGCTGAACAAGCAGTTGGTAAGTGAGGACTATCTGTAATGTGGTTGGTACTCTCAATGGAAATAAACCATATTTTAAAGTTTTAATTAAGTCTGAAAAATTTCTTTCAACCACTATTTGAAAGGGATTAAATGGCCATTTAAGATTTTCATCACTATGGGATGTTGCCTGCCCACTCCAAGTGTTTCCTATTCACCACAATGTTAATTGGCTATGTATGTAACGACATACTAAAATCCTACAAACACAGGAATGACAGAAAGATGCCTTGC